AAATGGACTGATCCAATATGGTGGACACTGAAGGGATTTTTGTCAACAACATAATTAATGTGCACAAATAAAGAATAGTTGTATTAACCACACATGTAAACAGAGTTTTATGGGGCCCCCAGGAACTTGGGGCCCTACAATGAATGGGGTAACCCCCCCTGTCTGGTAGAGAAGCTGTGGAAGGCGTTAGAGATGAGGGAGATGGCACAGAGGCCCTCCAACCAGCAGCCAGTCGGTCTAGATTCCTGCACTGATTGTTCAGTCATTCATATTTTCTCTCTAATATTTTCAGTTTAATGTAAGTCTGTATTTTACAAACTAATTCAGTATTTGATCTTCTAGAGATTCCCCTTTAACATCATAAACACATTTCTTAGTTAAAGAAAGGAAGCATTTTAAATCCCCATTATGAAAATGGTTTGAATTATTTTTTATATATATATTATTTATATTATATATTATTTACTATTATATTATTTATAGTCAACTGTATTAATGTTATTAAACGTAAGAAATCCTCTAGTTGTTAGGAGGAGGAATCCATCCATAACCAAGAATATATAAATAACTAAATCATTTAAAGCATTACTGGGCCAAAAAAAAAAAAAAAAAAAGCTTAATATTGAATTCATTAAGCGTGTCATATGCAATAACAGAATAAAAGCAGAAAATTATTTTGTAATCAAATAGAAATTTAAATTGACATTTCATTTTGCAGCTGCTGAAATTTATTTCTGCACTGATGCGCTAATTTTTTATCGAAACAATCAACTAATCAGTTATTTCATTTGAATGCTGTATTTATCCTTTATTCATTTATTACAAATACATTTTACCTATTTCTATTAATTTATTACCACCTACTGAAGACATGCTTTATGCCTAAAAAAAAAAAAATACTATTTTTTTTATTTCCTAAATAGCCTATATATTCTCATTTAATGCATCCTGTCTAAACACATTTCCTTTAAATAGACATAAATATAGAAATAAATAGAAATGTATAGATCTATTTAAATGATCAACTGAATAAACATTACATTTTTATGTGTTGTATTTAATCTCACACAACTTTAAATGTTGTGCTTTTCGCTCATTGATCACTTTAAAGAGTCCTAATTATATGTTTATAATCAGTTATCCAGTTATCCAGAGGTACTTGCTGTGTCCATCAGCTAACATGTGACTGATGGACACAGAAGACATTGTCCTCACCTGTGAGACATCCATCGCTGGAAGGGAGGACTGGAGGGGGACGAGGGGCTGAAATGAAGGAGAAAATAAAGTGAGAACATTATTCCTATCATTTAAAAAGACTATTTTTGGTCACATCTAGACACCTAAATAAGAAGAGAAAATTTGAAGATAAGTGAATCCAGTTTGGCATCTGGTCCAACCTGTGCATTCCTTAGTTCCAGTTTAGCTTCCAGTAACACCACCCTACTGGTCAGGTCTTCCCAGCTTTCTCTGGACACCAGAAGGACGTCTCCTTCATTCTGAAACTGATCAGACAGAGCGGCTCACTGTCGTTTTGTTTAAAGCTTTTGGAAAGGAAGCAGTGACTTCATAGAGAGATAGAACAATAAAAATCAATTAAAAATGTGACTTTGAAAAGGCAGATAGAATCAATATTTGGTCTTTTAAGGCTTAAAACTTTCCTTTTTGATAAAGCTT